AACAGCCCACGAAATGTATAGACGCACATGTGCATAGGTACAGATGAGCCATTACTCCCCGACCCGGCGTACGTTTAAAATTAAATAAGCCCCTCCCGTGAACACATTTCTTGCATGTATAAACTCCTTGCACGCGGGTAGTGCGGGTACACATATTATACAAGTGCCTGTATACAAGGATCGTACATGCACATCGGCCCCGTTCGCAAGACCACCAGCTCGTAAAATTGCGGTTACGTGTTTGGCCTCCGTATATACCACCTCCGCCTCATTCGCAATTTTACCCAGTAGTCGCTCTTCTCGTACACGCGTATCCTCATTTGTTCGCGTAGCCATTCCTCCTCTGCCTATAAGTATTTCCTTGTCTATCAATCCCTTCTTTAAGTTTTTTTTTTTTTTTTTTTTTTTCCCTCCCAAAGTGGTAAAGTAGATTTGATGCTTCAAAAGGATTCCTCTTTGGGCCTTGTATCGGCTCGTGGGTGAGGCTCGAACGAACAATGCGCTGCGGGTGAGAATGGACGGAACCGGAACGCGTGTCTCATGACTCACGATGCCCATACAGTATACATCAGTTTTTCTCGTCTGACTAGTTTTTTTCTTCCATTCTTCTACCATTGTTTTGGCTATCTGTATTTCTTGGGCGTGCTCGCACACCTCGGTTTTTTTTTTTTTTTTCAACCAAGAAACCTTTAAAAACCACTTTCCTTAATATTCCAAGCGATGCGTGAACTCGACAACCAAATCGATCGATCGATCAAAATATAGCTAAATTTCAACAATTGACAAATATATTATCAGCATCGTATATATATNTTTATATAGTTTTTCCATACAAATATTTATTCAAACAACTGCAACTTAACGTTATATATATATATATATTTTTTTTTTCCGGAAAAACTCGCTTACGCCCACCCTATGCCTTACCAATACACTCTTCCTCTCTTTCGTACTGCACCAGCAAAAACTTCCCAGCGTGTCATCCATCACTTTTGTCTCTCACCCGCGACGACACTGCAGCGTCAGCCTCCTCCTTATCTCCCTGTCCGAGGCAACAACGGAGAGGAGTTTCTTGGGCCACATCGCACCCCTTTCCCCCTCTCCCCCTCTTTGTAAATAATTTTGTGTGATCCTGGTAAAAAAAATATACGCCATAAAACCCAAAGACGGTGAGCAAGAGCCAAAATCATATTTTTTTTTTTTTTTTTTTTTTTAATACAGTCGCGCGTAGGCGAACAAGTCCAAGGTCGTGAGACCGGAAGAGCCGAGCAGCCGGGCATGGCCGATTCCGATGTTACAAGTAGACTGCCACGTGTGCAGTTTGTATCATTTTCGTTGTCGCACATCAAGTGCGGCCGATCCCTGGTTTCTCGCGGCAATAAAAACTATTATCAGCGTGCACCGCGATGCCAAGTAAAAATAATTTAATGCATCGAGGAGGTCGGCCCTGTGTAATACCGTAACGGTTGCACCTCTATTTTCTCGGTCATCCGGTTTATTGTTGACGGTCCTCGGGGCATAACCGAACAACAACTACAAAAATATAAGAATCATTTTTCTTTCTTTTTTTTTCTTTTATTTATTTATTTTTTTTGTTTAATCTACGCAACTTATGTATACACACGACACGCGGTGGCTCTTGCCAGAGACAAACAGTTCGTTGGGCACTTATCTTTCAGCCATACACTATACATGGAGTGGCAAGCGATTCGAGGCGACGGAGCTTCTTTTGCAATTGTTGCGATAAGAACTGCGAGTCATCGCCCTTTATTTGCGCTTTTTTTTTTTTTTTTTTTTTTTTTCGTCTTTTTTACAACCATACCAAGATTACAACACGTCACAAGCGAGGGTGCGAGTATACACAAATTGTTTGTACATTGGGAAAAAATTCCTTTCTTCCGAGATGCAATTACTACAGCCAACAGCCGAAGCGCAACACTTGGCGAGCTTTTGCATAAATTTACACCAAATCACAGCCACGGAATACTGCAGAGCGCGCAATAAGCTACACATGTACGTACAAACGAGCTTCGAAACAAAAAGTTCGTTGGTATACCAGGGCTCCTCAACCACACTATCTGGATTTCAGGGGAGAAAGAGGGACAGATGTATATAAATGTGTACAGTCCTTGTTATTATATAGAAAGGGAAGTTATAGCAGTGGTAGTTTGGGGCTCTCGTCGAGGATACAAGGACTCGCCTTCCGAGTTCGGAGGCGCGTTGCATTTCCCGTCACGTTCGACGACTCCTATATGGTTTTATACATATACGGATGTATCGAGCTTACCGAAGCGAAGACTCGACGGCCTTTTCGTGCCTGGCGTTGTAGATACATGTATATACTACCTCGTGTCTCATCGCAGGTAGCAACTCGGCACCATCGCTGCAATACTTACTTCATGGGCGCAATTTTCATTTTCCACGTTCCACATGTACACTGGGATATATATATATACCTGTACGTAATTTTTCCTTCGCTTCGCTCTCCGTCGTGTATATGTATATGGGTGCGCGTACGTATGTACAAGAGGGGCAAGAGAGGCCGGGACCGATAGTTCATCGCACCGAGGAGGAAATGCCGTAATCGCACTTTTCTTTTTTACTCGACGGCTCGCTCGGCTATTCGCTGCTTATTTACGCGTTCGCGTTTTTCGATCGAGTTCTCGTGCTTCCTCGGCCATCTGTTAATTACAGGTGTTTCGAGCGAATGGTTTTTCTTTCCCCCCCCCCCCCCCCCCCGTTGCATAAACGAGTGGACGGCCCGACACGTGAGGCATGCGAGCGATTGCCGGTTGGGTCGTTGCTGCTGACGAGAGATGGGAGAGTCTTCGAGGTTGATGGATCAATCGCCCCGGCTCGAGTGACATTCCTCCGAGTCTTTTGGGCCGGTGACTTCGTTAAGTTTTTTCATCGCTATGTCGATGCTTTGGACACTTACTTGCACATCTTTACTTTTTTCTTTTTGACCGTCACTTTGGCCATACCATCTATGTATGACTGGGGTGACACTGAAAACTAGTATCAGTCGCCACGAAAGGAGTTATCTGTGAAGCTGCTTGAGGTCTCGTTGAAACAAAGTACTCATACAGACTACGACTTTATTTTGGTACAAATTGTATCTTATGAACTGCTGAATTTACTGAAACAACGTGTTACACCTTTTTGGTCTATAGGGGCACAATTGCACATAGAGATCCTTTTTATTCAACAACGCAATTCGATTTTCTATATACAATTGAACGCGTTTCTCTCATTCGTTTTCGACCGATACAAAGCTATACCCCTACGAAAAGGAAAAACTGCACGATTTCTCAATGCTTTGACGATCCCCCGTATTTTTCACGTAAAACGAGATAGGACGAAACGAACGAGCAATGATTAACTCTTTAGGGTTGAAAAAAAAAAAAGAAACGCAATAAGCGGCGACAGTGTGGCTCATTCCTTGCAAAAAAAAAACACACCCAACGAGACCCAGACCCCACAAGTACTCTGCACTATAAATCCACATCGCGCGATAATCCTCGAATCTAGCTGGAAAAAAAAATACACGAGAAAGGTGGAAATGGGTGGAGGGGCGTGCAATTTTCAAGCGAACGCGTATCCTCCGAGACGAGCTCTTCCCAGGGATATTTCGTGAACGGGAGATCGATAAAATCGTCGAAGGCGAGCAGTCCCACGAAGCTTATCCGCTTACACTTCCGCGTGGAATTTTTTTTTTTTTTTTTTTTATTTTCGTGCGCCCAAGCTAATCCTCCGCGGATTTAAGTACTTTCTTTATTCGGCGCACGACACGTTTTGTTAAAAAAACGTCCACGAGTATATACATTATTTATACATATGCAAGCGAAGCTTTTTTTTTTTTTTTTTTTTTTATCATCGCAGTTGTTGTTATTCCTACGTAACTGGTGCCACATCGCGTGGGGAGTACAATGAGGGGAGGAGAAAGGAAAGGAAGGCTATACAAAAAACGGTTTTTCAGCGCCAGTAGCAGCTGCTATGGGACGCCAGGCCGGAAGTATAATGCAGGTACAAAGCCGGCGTTCTTTCGCATGGTTTGGTAATTGGTAGCAGGTGAACGAGCGATGGCTCGAGGAAAAAAAAAAAAATACAAATATTACATCTATACCCACTCTGGCACTATCGACTTTTCTAGAGGGAAAGAGAGAAAGGGTGAAGGGGGTAATTTTTGCGCCCGTAGGGATATAACGGAAGCCTGAGAACATTCGGACTAAAAGTGGTACTTGGGAGGGAGTATTTTTTAATTTTAATTTTTTTTTTATTTGCCAAAGTTCACCCAAAACTCCCTCCACTCTCCCTTGGAGCAAAGTAGTTTGTAGTTAGGTAATTATAATTTTACGCATGTCGAGTTTTCTTTTTACACTCTCGTAAAAGTTCAAATTAAAAGTGAAGGGGTATACATACCTTCGTAAATTTTTTTTTTTTTTTTCATTCCATCCAGCGAGATTAGCGCTCTCGGAAAACTACCATCCCGCCTTTTTTCCGTGGTGCCTTCGAGGGTTTTTTGAATTTCATAAAAACTTGCATTACGTAGCGAACATATTTCGAAACACGCGTTAATACAACCAAACTCTGGATGCTTCAGCTCTTCGGTCGAGGACATTAAGCCACTCGTCGAGTACTACCACGTTTGATCTTTCAGTTGGAGAAAGTATTAATTTCAACTCCCTGCTCCGAAAGAGCTAATTTTGTTTGTCCATACTTTTTTAATAGCCACATCACATGTGTTGATGTTATACGCATTACAATTAAATTAATCAACACTTGGTTGGATAAATCAACATAAACATACACACATTCATATCTCATACCATGCAATCAAAGAAATAAACATACATCTTTTGAGACTATTGCTACAAGATCCGACAAAAAAACACTCGATGGCTCTCAATACAATTGAAGTAAAAAAAAAAAAAAAAAAAAAAAAAAAAAAAAAAAAACCTGTATATTTACACCCTTAATAATGTCCAAAATATCCGCAGCGAGCAGTTGACGCCACATCGCCATCTGCCAGGAAGTCTGCGCAGCTCGTTGCAGTTGACGCACAGCGGCGGCGGTAGTACAGGCCAGCATCGTCACCACCAGTTGCAGCAGCAAGCCGGCGAGCATCCCCACAGACATGAGCCAACGGCCTTGTGCTGCCAGGCGCCACCCCCGACGACCAACAACTGCAACACTGTGCCGCGCGGCTGTGCCCTACATCCGCGGTGAGTAAAGTCACTATCCGACTTATCCTATCCTCCTGTGCGCTATTACGTGCTCCGAGCTTTCGAGAGCTTGCGGCGAAGCTCTGGTGTGCGCTCGATGGACATATACATTTCTTTTTCATTAAATTCCTGCCTTTCGGTCAAGTGTAGCGAAAAATTGTTTTTACGCCAGTGGAACAGGATTTCGGGCAAAGAGATAACATCATCACATTCCGATGCACAGGCCAGGGCTGTATGAATTAATTTTTTGACCAATCATTTTACTTTGCTGCGTATACTTTGAAAACGGACAGCGATGATGCATTTTACATATCAAGTGAACTTTTCAAATCTGTGAGCTTTCGATTCTGTATGTTGAAATTAACTAGACAAAAGTTTTTCAGTTCAAAAAGTAAATTATTTGTAATCGAAGGACTGCAGGGTGTGAAAAACATTGGAGCTAACTTACTTGTTAATGGATGAATTTTATTATTTTTAACTAATTTTTACTGCATTATCCTCCAAACACGTCGTTTTTCTACAACTTTTTAAATTTAATCTTCTAGTAAGACATCCTTTATACAACTGGTTGCTTTCCTTTCCTCGCAATTCTACCCTTTTTTTTTGTTTTTTACCTTTTCGACCATTTGTCAGAGCATAATCAACATAAAAGTCACAAGAAAAATATAAAACAACAGCAGGCAGAGCAAGAAAGAGGAAAACACAAAGTTCAACGACTCCATCGCCTTACAGCTTGACCGCGTTACTTGTAAGTTTTCCCTCGTATATATATAATCAAGTCCGTCAATCGACGCAAGTGCTCGAACGGTGTTTTTTTTTTGTTTTTTTTTCGTAAGCTTATGCCAAGTAGGTAACGATGTGTCCCGTTAACGACTACGAGTGTGTCGGACTCTCGGACAATAAAGTGTCATCATAAAATTATCCAGTTTACCGGCTCTTTGCACGGAAAAAGTACAAACGGAAGCAGCATACAACTACCGTTCCAACTGCGCGTGTACTCAAGCTCGGCATTTCTTATACATGTGAACTTTGCGCAAAACAGCCAAAACCCAAACTCAACGAGTCTCCGCGATTAATTGCACCCCGGAACTCTCAACTCAGGCAACAAAGTCCCTGTGTCTCGCGACAGGGTATAACTTGCAGCCCAGTACACGCGAAGGAGGAATCGGCCCGAGGGTTCGGCGCTTCTTTGCTTCATATTTCCGAAGCGCCCGGGAGCGTGACGACGACGGCTCTCGCGTGCGAGGCATTGCGACGCTCGTAAATAACTCCTCGTTCGCTCGCTCCTTCGTCTTGTACTTGTTCCGACCGCGCGGGGGGTTGAAATTATCTTTGGGAGCTGATGTAGATGCGTCTCGTTAAAGTTCACGTGGTTCCGTGGTGGTGTAACTATCGGGAAAAAAAAAGCTGCGGATGTTGGACGAGTACTCAGGGAAAGCGCGTGTTCGTGTAGTGTACGCGAAAAAGGGATGGGTGCCGGAGAAAAGTTGGAGAGAATTTTTTTCTACATGGTTGCTCGGGGTGTGCGGTTTTTCATAATTTTCTTGTGGCCCTCTCGTGATTACCCAATTCATCGTGCCTGTAATGCAGTTGACAATTAAGGTGCGAAATAACAATTTATTTTGTCTCATTCAAGGAATTTTTTCCACACTTTTTCTTAACCAGACTTTTAATTTGCCATTTTGTGTAAATCGTCAAACTTAATTTTCTTTTCCTTCGACGTAGGTATAGACTTTAGTTTTTTTCCCTTGAATTTCATAGAATCAACTTTAAAAATTTGATTTAAAAAATCATACGTTTGATATCCGTATTATTGGTAAAATTACCAATAATCAAACGTTGAGTACAACTGTTATACACTTCATGATTTCTAGTTTTGATAAGGAAACATGTTTTTTAAGAGTACTCGTACTGTTCCTAAAAAGTATACGATATGTATCATCGGGTGCTCAATAACAACGACAAATAAAACGACAAAATTTGTAGAAGCAAAACAGAGCAACCTCGGTTTCACCATTCCAATTTATAATGTCTTTATCCAGAATTTCGTCCCTTACTTCGTCACGCCATGTCGTATACGTATAATGACACGTACGGTCACGCTGGCCTTATCCCTGACTTTGATCTTCGGCGCTTGGGCGGAGGAAAGAAGCCGGTGCTTTGGGTTTTAATTTCAAGCGGCGCAGCCAGCCACGAAAGACCGATAAGCTCACCGATGGCTACTGTTGTGGCCTTTTTTTTTGTTATAACCTGTAGAATCGTGGAACTGTTTGTACTTTGAAAAAATTCGCGTTGGCTCTCCGGCACAGGGTTCTGTGTGTTCCAATGTTTTATCGTTTCAAAAAACGCTGAAACAAGTATCCTTACATTAAATTATGTATGATTTATTTAACCATTGTTTTAAGGCACTCACCTGCTTTGGATCTATAGTTTTACCAGAGAAAACATTCCAACGACTCATACGTACACAATGAATATTTAGCAGTTGAAACGAATTTAAAAAATTTGCTTATTAAATTTTTTTTTTTCTATAAAAAAAGTTGTGTAATAAACGTTAAAAAATATAAAAATCAGCCAGTTCAACCTTATCATACAAAGGCGTAGTGGTATTCTTCAATATTAATTTTCAAAACTACATTCGCTTAAAAAAAAAAAAAGGAACAATTTATCATCCACGCAACTAGCTCAAATAAATCTAATAGTAAACCTTATCCAACGCAAGTAAGGCGCTCAGAGTGAAAATTTGCACGAGCGGCGTAAGGGGTGCTAACCGAGTTCGCATTAATCGAATAGCGGGGAGCCTTCCCAGCTTGCGAGCTCTCGAATGTATATACACATACACGTATACGTATTTTACAGAGGGGCCATACTAGAAAGTCCGTATACGGACTATTACCGTCAACTGCAGGGGAGAATATAATTATGATCGAGATGAGTTTTCGGCAATATAGCCCGACGCATCTGGATGACTCACGTATACGATGTTTTAAATTGAGTTTGGGCTTACACCCCGTAAATATTTTTAACCTTATCCCGCGACATTTATTGTGAAAAAATAATAATTTTGCATGAGTAAGAAAAACAAATCTTTGCAAAATGAAGCTTATAATTTTTAAACACCCTTATACTTACGAGATATATTTCCATTCGGTACGTTATGCAGTCACTTTCCAATCTCAACGGAAGCCGCAGCGTCCGAGAAACCCACCGTTCTCATACCTATACCTACTGGTGCACTACGGACTTTAATTAAGCCATTATCGATATCCATCTGCGGAGAATTTCGGGGACCATTTCCTCGGAAATGGCATAGCATCGAGTCCACTGGGACGCGTAAGTTATCTCTGCACGCTTCGGCTGTTATATGATTCATATCTGCGTGCGAGCGGAGGTTCGCAGGTGTAGGGGACCGTTTTTGCGAGTTGCCGTTTGATTTATCACGGTAATACTCGGGGTTTTATTTCTTTTCGAAGGATTTGCCATTAAAGTATCGATCGTGGATGATGCTCTTTAGTTTCGAGGTTTATATACCTACGTGCATATTAAAAAAAAAAAAAAAAAAACTGTTATTTCCCATCTGCGAGACAAAAGAGTTTGACCGCGTAAAAAACAGAGCTAAGCTCATCTAGTCCCTTTCAAATCAACGCCAATCTAATTTCGACTCGATCAAAGACCTCGAAAGGGCAAAGAACGCACAAAAGTGCCAACCAAGCGAAACAAACGCGAGAGGATAGGGGGTGTAATGTGGGTCGCGAAAATCCGCGACTAACCAAGAAAGAACGAGAGCTCAGCGGCTGCAGTGGGGTGGTTGGTGGTAACTAGCGATAACAAAATTGTGAAAGATAGCGATGGTGAAAAAGAAGCACTATAGAGTGAGGAGGGAGGGGGGCTGTACGTGTGGGTAGCAGCGAGGTAGAGAGGCTCCGAATAGTTGTTGGAAGCGCACCAAATGTAAAAGCTTCTTAGCTAAACCCCTCCCGGCAAGCTGCGTGTGACCCCTTTTTCTTACTCACGTGTGTCGCGTTGGCGTCGTTTTTTCAGATTTCGCGAGCCAGTGGCGTTGTAAGACTCGGGTTTTCCTGATGCACCGAGACAACGACGTACGACTGCGCCTTTTGTACGTGTCTCGCGGAAATATACTGGGTAGGTACGTTCCACCTGCGATGGTTTTTTTCCCTCTACACGTACACACGAGAGGGATCCTTTTCACTTCTGGGCTTAACGCGCCGCGTTAGGTTTTACCTTTGACTTGGAGAAAATCTAGGGATTCTAGGCGAGGATTTACGTACTTATCGCCCTGTTGATAAGTTATTTTATATCCGGGACTCCTCTTTCACGGGAATTCTCCGTGCAGGGCTAACATTTACAAGTTCATCAAAGGCCTTCTTGTGCTTTTTTCAAGTTTTATTGGTGTTGTTTGAGTGATTTCACGTAATCCTCGATCTATAAAAAAAAATCTTAAGCAAACCATTGGCAGCTTTAAGCTTTGAAAGACGTTTGTCCGAGAGTTATGATTTTTATCCTCAGACCAATAAGACTTCTACATTGCCCGTAAACTAAATTGAAAAAAAAAAAAAAAAAAAAAAATACTCCAAAAATCCAATTTTATTTTAATCTGAGAAATATAGACTACCCTAACTGTTTTTAACACACACTGCACAATCTTCCTTTACATTTAATGAGTATTTACTCTACCAATGACCCATACGAGGACCACACAGAGCAAAAGAGAGAATAATAAAAGTGGCTACATCCAGCAGGGCACTAAACATTCCAGAAATCCAAGCCACAAGCAAGCCGTGCTCTTTTCTATAGCCCATACACATACGCGCAGACACGGTTAATGAGACTCGTTAAAATCCACGGAAACACATTTACTCGTAATATTTTTCTCCTCTCGGTCGTATATTTCTCCCTAGCGAATTTTCTTCCTGCTGTCTCTTGCACGCGTAAGCTCGCTCTCTTACGTATGTATACGTGCACGTGGCGGGGAATGTTGC